ATTCCTGCCTGCCTAGTTTGTTATATGCACATGGAACACTTCCTTAGACGTGTCTAAATTACCACTATCCACTTAAATGTGAGTATAAACTGATTAACGTGATCTTGTTTGTGGTTGGTCCTTGGTATTAAACAGCCAGTCCTGCTAAGTTCTGATAAGTCCATTCAAGTTTGTATGATTTAATGATAGCCATTTGACTGGACATAATGGACTTGACAAGCTACAGAAAGATTTGAGGAAGGAGGCGGCCTTAGAATCCAGATTACCTGAATATTAGGCCAGTTAATTATTCACACCATGGAGCCTGGCAGTCTGGTTTCCATATCAGTACCTTTTACTGTTTAACTTTTACTGTTTTAAAGCCTGTTTAATATCTTTTAAAATAAATAAAGTCTAGTTATAGCAAATATTTTTTCAAGCAGTACAAGATATTTCAGTTATGATTAAGATGCATGAAAGATCTACCAGTGACCAGTCCCTTCTTTATTTTTAAAAACCAACTTGGGTGCTTGTTTACTGGCCATGTATTCCTAAAAGTCCGGTGAAAATAAATAAAAGTGGTTATAAAAGAGTCAGTGGCAGAGGCTGCTGTAGAATTTCACACAGGCAGGATGGGAGGCAGCAATCCTGATGCTGAGAAGGGTGGTGTAAAGGTGTGGGTCTTGAAGCCAGGTTAGCATTGCAAGGCTAAATACTCCCCCATCCCAATAACCGACACCTCTTGGCATTTACGGTGTAAGCAATTTCATGAAAACATTGTGTGCATTACGTCAGTTCTATGGAAAGCAATTTTTTCTCAACCATTTTTGGAATGAGTTACCTGATAAAAATTACCTATCAAGGGGCAGAAATATAGAAATAAATACTTTCCAAGAAGGAAGAAAAATGTTGCCCACATCTCAGAAGGTCACCCAGATCTACTAAATCAATGATGGGGGCAGGGAGGGAAATATGCATGCGGCATATTTAACAAAAGCACCTTGGCTGAGTCGCGTGGGCACTAAACTCTGACAGATGTGGCTGACACCCACAGGACCGAGTCTGCCAGAGGTGGGCCACTGGGCTGCGTCTCCACTCTGTCTGCATCAGCAAATGTAAACACAAAGCTAGGTGCAGCTGGCTTCTCTCCTCTTGCTTTGTGAATAGGTAATTCCTGTTCATCTGTTCTCTTTATTACCATAATACTCACCTCTCTTTCTCTCCGTTTATCCCACGTAAAATCTATTTTAAAAAATTAGTCCAAATGGAATTTTTTTGGATCTCATATATCTAATTAAAATAGAAATAATCACGGAAAACACGTGTAACTCCAGTCTTTAAAAGATCTCTAGACCTATAAACACAAAGTATCACTTCAGTAGATTCTACAAGGACCACCTCAAAGGCAAAAAATCACGTGGACACTTTCTTTGCCTCATATGACATTGATACTGAGCATACACGTTAAGCAAAAGTGTCATACACTCTCAGCGAGAATCTGTTTCTCGGCTAATACGGCAATGAACAACGGCCAAAACGGAGGAGCGAACTAATTCAGAAACACAGTGCTTCACAATTTCAAGTACCCCTTCCGTAGATAAGAACTGAAAAACCCAAGCCATCCTCCCATACACCCTTCCAAAAAGGAGAGAAAACTGGATCAAGTTTTCTTTCTCTGATTCATTCATTATTCTGGTTCACAATATAACCTACAGACGTATTTTCACATGTACAAACTAAAATACATTAAATCTTCCAAAAATAATGAAAATATTAACTAGTTAATGTCACTTACAAATCAGTAAAATTATCTACACTTTTGTCCATGTTTAATAAAATAGGATATTCAATTCAATCAGAGTGGAATATAACTTTACTATGTGGGGGGGAAATTGCTGCAAATACTGAGAGATATTTGTATTACTTAATGTCACTTAGATGAGAGCAGAAGCAACACAACAAACAAAAGTATCAAAGAATAAAAACAAAATCCAAAGAATGCCAAAAGCAGACTGGAGAAGGGTGGGGGTGGGGAGAGAGAGAGAGAGAGTGACTGGAGGAGAAAACCCATAACTTGAGATCTTTAGATGGCTGATTATTTTTAAAAATCAAAAATCAGGTATTGGTAATGCAGGTTGGATAATCCACAAAAGAATACTCTCTAGAAGGCTTTGAAAGACACAGTTTTTAAGAAAACATACTTTGTAAGTGTGATAATGGTTATTACAGTAGATGAGACTCCACACCCCCACATCAATAGCATTGGTAGTTTCAGGGCTTGTAAACACTTCTCACCTTTTGAGGGGCCCTGAGTGTGAAGCTGGACACTTGTCACCCACATCCCTTGCCCCACCATCCCAGGCTGCCGCGGAAACAGCTTCCTGGACAGAGAGCCTGACCCCTGACCAAGGACACGAAAGCAGGCAGAAAGGAGCTCACTCTCTGCTCTGCTCCCTGCTGTCACCTCTCGGCTGAGATGGCTGGAAAGTGACTTAACCACTGCTGATGAGAAAGAGAACCATTTATCACAGAGAAGATCATGTTTTATATTTTAAGATACAGATTTTTTTAATTGAAGTATAGTTAGTTTATAATGTGTTAATTTCCTATGTACAGCATAGTGATTAAGATATATATATTTCTTTTCATATTCTTTTTCATTATAGTTTATTACAAGATGTTAAATATAGTCCCCTGTGCTATACAATAGGGCCTTACTATTTATCTTTTTGTATATAGTAGTTAGTATCTGCAAATTTTTTATTTCAGCTTCAGACCAGTTTTCCATTGATTTGCATGATACCAATTACTTAGCCACTTAAAGAAAACTGGAATTGCAAAAAGATCGTGTATAGGAGCTGAATAACTTACCTGAAGTTGTGAATTAGAGCTGAAATTACAGATAGAGAGCCACTCTGTTGGAGACCTTATATTTTCATGGTTTAGTGACCTCACTTGTTTATTGTGAGGTCAGATAGCTAAGACTCAGACACTGGTTTGACCTCGACTCTGGCGTGAATACAGTACAACAGCATTTCATAGACGGCAGCATTTAGTTACAGACCTTCAGATACCACCCAGAAAACTGCAGCTACCACAACTCAATGAAACAACTACGCCAGCAGAATTCAGGATGCCAACCCTTTTCGTAAAAGACCTTTGGACTTTCTTATGGGTTGAACTGTGCACCTCCTGCGTTCATATGTTGAAATCTTAACTCCTAGTGCCTCAGAATTATGACAGAATTATGGAAATAGGGTTACTGCAGATGCAGTTAGCTAAAATGCAGTTGTCCCAGAATATGGTGGGCTCCTAATCCAACATGACCAACAAAAGAATGCTCTGTGAAGAAACAGACAAGCACACCGGGAGAATGCCATGCAGTGATGAAGGCAGAAATCAGGATAATGATTCTGCATGCCAGGGGACACCAAAGATTGCCAGCAAACCACCAGAGATTAGGGGAGTAGCATGTAACAAATTCTCCCTCATAGCTCTCAGAAGGAATCAACTCTGCTCACACCTTGATTTTGGACTTCTAGCCTCCAGAACTGTGAGATAATGATTTTTTTTTATTGTTTAAGTTACACAGCTTATGGTACTTTCTCACAGGACCCCTAACCAACATAGAGGTGTTAGTTTTTGGAGGGAGCAGAAAGTGAGAGATCATTTGATGCTGGGATGTTCAACCTCACATTCTGAACAGGATGGAAACACTTGCCTTTCAAAATATTACAAACTTTTTACTTCTTACTCACAATCCCTAAGTCTATAAATTACCATTAAAAATTGTATATTTTGAGTCATCTAAAATAACATCTAAGCAATATAGTTCCTAAATAATGTATCTAGAAATTAAGAAGCTAAATGTTAAAAAATAGTCTTTTGAAT